AATCTGAAGAACCTTCTTTCGCCACAAAGAAGCTTTTGTGAAGCAGAAAGGTTCTTCAGGTGTTAAAGGTTCTTTATGGAACCATTTAGACAAAAAGGTTCTTCTATGGCATCGTGAAGCACCTTTATTGTTAAGAGTGCATGACTGTGTGTCGCGAGCTTCTGCCTTCAGTGCAACATTCCGTCTGTTTTCATTTTTTAAAGAATATTTTTCTACTGATTTTGTGCACATAAAGCAGTCAATCTGAACTCTGATGTACTATGTTTTTAATGCTCTGTAAATACAGTTCACATTTGTGTAAAAATGCGCATTAAAGATTTCTATCCATTATGTTAACTGGTTGTTTTTGCTTTAGAGATTGGTCTTTCTGTCTGTAATCTCGGAGTCTGTCCTCCTTATTCTGAGATTTGGCCCAAATTGAACAAACTTTATACTTACATATCTCTTTATATAAATATTTTTGCAGTAAAAAAAAAAAGAAAAGAAAAGTGAAGTAGTTGTTTAATGGCAGCGTTTGCAGACAAAATTAAGAGCAGATTTTTGCACATAAGATGTAATATTTATTTAAACAAATATATTTTTGCTTTTTGAGTTTTTTTTCTTCTCTTCCTGAATATGAAGTAATTCTTGAATTAATCCTAAAATGCAAAAACCTTGAATGCTGAAAGAAAATATGAAACACCAAATGCATGAAAGTAGAATAAACAGTATCATGTAATAGAGATTAATCATATGATGCACGAACAAATGTTCTCACACAGTGTTTTAGACTGATTTATTCTGGGGTTTCATGAACTCTCCGCCCCTGTGGAGGCTGTTCTCAGACACACACACACACACACACACACAGCTCCTCCTGTGTGCAGATAGACAGGCAGAGAGAGAGAGAGAGAGAGAGAGACAGACAGGTGTCGTCTTCACAGCGAATCATGTCCTCATCAAGAAACTCCTCAAACTTCAACCACACCAACAGGTTCGCGCAGCCTCCGTGGCGCGTGGCGCTCTGGTCGCTCGCGTTCGCGCTGGTTCTGCTGGTGGCCGTGACCGGGAACCTGATCGTCGTCTGGATCATCGTGGCGCACAAGAGGATGAGGACCGTCACCAACTACTTTCTGCTCAATCTCGCGGTGTCTGACGTGTGCGTGGCCGCGCTCAACGCGCTGGTGAACTTCGTGTACGGAACGCACGGGGACTGGTACTTCAGCAGCGCGTACTGCCGCTTCCAGAACTTCTACCCGGTGACCGCCGTGTTCGCCAGCATCTACTCGATGAGCGCCATCGCCTTAGACAGGTGTGACACACACACACTCACTCACACACTCACTCACACACACTCACTCACTCACTCATTCACTCACTCACTCACACACACTGAGACACACACTCAGACTCACACACACACACTAACTCATTCACTCACTCACACACACACACACACTCACTCATTCACTCACACACACACACACTGAGACACACACACTCAGACTCACACACACACACACACTCACTCATGTTAGTATGATATGAGTTCAGTCTTCATGCATATCTGCAGATACTGATGATGCCATTTACAGTTTTTCTCAGTTGCTTTGGTGCATTTCTCAAATCATCCTTAATATTTGCAAAGTATGAGCATTTCTCAAAACAATTCGTACAAACAGCAGCACACAATGGATTACCTGCAAAAGCCTGTAATTTACTCAAAATCTTTAGTTCATCTCTCAAAAGTTATTATTTATATCAATGAACATATCAGTGCCATCAGAATGAAAAGTCCTTGAGTCATTGTTCACAAACAAGATAGTCACAATGCTTAGTCAATATAACAGTGCACTCTGTTAGTGTTACCTGATATAAACTATGGCAGCAGTTTGGATCACAGTTACTGTATTGAAATGCAGAAGGCTGCACTTCTTCTGTATGCCATATATCCATTTCAAAAGTACAAATTTACACATTATTGTATGTGGGATATTGATTGAAAGAGACTGGATGGGATTCACAGTTACATTTTACTAGTGGTCTGACAAAAAAAAAACATTACAACGTCATTGTGATATAGAAAAGAAATATGGGCACAAAGGCGAAAATACAAAATCAGAAAGGCAAACACAGGAAACACTCCTTAGGAAGAACTTTGCTTTTGCATGCAGCACTTTATGAGAAATGGCAGTGCAGTCTGTCTATATATGCTTTCCATTTGAAGGTTCATGAGATGGTTTATCATTAGCTGATCTACATTCTCTTCATTAGTGAAAGTCAAGATTCATCTCCACAATTCATGGCAAATTTACAAAAAGTCTAAGTCAAGTCAAGCCACCTTTATTTATATAGTGCTTTTAACAATACAGATTGTGTCAAAGCAACTGTACAGCATTCATTAGGAACATAGTGTGTCAATAATGCAGAAGGACAATAGTAAACACTCAATGTTCAGTTAAAGACAGTTCTTCATTGAGTTCAATGTTCTCACACAGTGTTTTAGACTGATTTATTCTGGGGTTTCATGAACTCTCCGCCCCTGTGGAGGCTGTTCTCAGACACACACACACACACACACACACAGCTCCTCCTGTGTGCAGATAGACAGGCAGAGAGAGAGAGAGAGAGAGAGAGAGAGACAGACAGGTGTCGTCTTCACAGCGAATCATGTCCTCATCAAGAAACTCCTCAAACTTCAACCACACCAACAGGTTCGCGCAGCCTCCGTGGCGCGTGGCGCTCTGGTCGCTCGCGTTCGCGCTGGTTCTGCTGGTGGCCGTGACCGGGAACCTGATCGTCGTCTGGATCATCGTGGCGCACAAGAGGATGAGGACCGTCACCAACTACTTTCTGCTCAATCTCGCGGTGTCTGACGTGTGCGTGGCCGCGCTCAACGCGCTGGTGAACTTCGTGTACGGAACGCACGGGGACTGGTACTTCAGCAGCGCGTACTGCCGCTTCCAGAACTTCTACCCGGTGACCGCCGTGTTCGCCAGCATCTACTCGATGAGCGCCATCGCCTTAGACAGGTGTGACACACACACACTCACTCACACACTCACTCACACACACTCACTCACTCACTCATTCACTCACTCACTCACACACACTGAGACACACACTCAGACTCACACACACACACTAACTCATTCACTCACTCACACACACACACACATGTTAGTATGTTAGTATGATATGAGTTCAGTCTTCATGCATATCTGCAGATACTGATGATGCCATTTACAGTTTTTCTTTGGTGCTTTGGTGCATTTCTCAAATCATCCTTAATATTTGCAAAGTATGAGCATTTCTCAAAACAATTCGTACAAACAGCAGCACACAATGGATTACCTGCAAAAGCCTGTAATTTACTCAAAATCTTTAGTTCATCTCTCAAAAGTAATTATTTATATCAATGAACATATCAGTGCCATCAGAATGAAAAGTCCTTGAGTCATTGTTCACAAACAAAATAGTCACAATGCTTAGTCAATATAACAGTGCACTCTGTTAGTGTTACCTGATATAAACTATGGCAGCAGTTTGGATCACAGTTACTGTATTGAAATGCAGAAGGCTGCACTTCTTCTGTATGCCATATATCCATTTCAAAAGTACAAATTTACACATTATTGTATGTGGGATATTGATTGAAAGAGACTGGATGGGATTCACAGTTACATTTTACTAGTGGTCTGACAAAAAAAAAACATTACAACGTCATTGTGATATAGAAAAGAAATATGGGCACAAAGGCGAAAATACAAAATCAGAAAGGCAAACACAGGAAACACTCCTTAGGAAGAACTTTGCTTTTGCATGCAGCACTTTATGAGAAATTGCAGTGCAGTCTGTCTATATATGCTTTCCATTTGAAGGTTCATGAGATGGTTTATCATTAGCTGATCTACATTCTCTTCATTAGTGAAAGTCAAGATTCATCTCCACAATTCATGGCAAATTTACAAAAAGTCTAAGTCAAGTCAAGCCACCTTTATTTATATAGTGCTTTTAACAATACAGATTGTGTCAAAGCAACTGTACAGCATTCATTAGGAACATAGTGTGTTTAAAATACATAGTGAAAACTGTGCAATGCTATTTTACATTTGATTATTAAATGTTTGTACCTGAACACCTACAAACCTGAAAACCTAAAGCATTGTTTAATTTGTATCTTTGTTTTATTCATTTATCCGTGCTTTTTGCATTATTTCAAATAGGGCCCACAGGTACAATCTCTGCCGGGGCCCCGCATATCAACAGTAAACATGTAGAGTTGTGCACAGCAACTTCACCTTGTGTTACATACAGAAATAACTGTCTGATCTGCCGGAAAATTAAACTGTACAAAATTAGGTCAATAATTGCTTAAAGTTAAATAACAAATAAACAAGCAGAACTGTTGATTTTTGTTGAATAGAGTTTTATTTATTTATTTTTATTATTTTTTAAAGGAAATCATGGAACATTTAGTTGTAAAATCTTGATAAAAAGTAAAGGAATTGTAACATAAAAAGCTCTGCCATATTTAAAATAATAAAGTTTTTCAGAGAATGAAAGAGGATGCTGTTCCCCTAAAAAATAATGAACATTAACAAGGGTTTTCACTATAGAGGAATTATTATTTTTATTATGTTTAATCTTGATTGTAAAGTTTGGAAGGAGACTGAATAAAACAACTTATAGAACAAACACATCAACCTATACTAAATGATCTTAGACACTGACAAATGTTTAGTTTAAAGCAGTCAAGTCTTTTTTGGCACAAATGGAACCTCATACATCTGCATGCCTGAATTGGTGAAAAGAATGATTGCTCCCACCTTCTTAAAAAGAAAGGTTCCACTGTTTAATGTTTGATGATTGCGTTATTTTACATATGCATCTGCTTAGAAGACCTCCTACTGTATAACAGTGAAAACACAGAAAGATGTAAAATTCTGTTAATGGTGGAGAAATAGTTAAAGTGTTAGTTCACCCAAAAATGAAAATTAGCCCATAAATTACTCACCCTC